ACTATTACGTTACACCACGTACCTACACTAATATGTTGTGTATTATGTATATTTGTAAAAATTATATTGTAATATTGTATTTGTAAAATTTTATTATATGTTTAAAATTTTATAGTAAAATAATCATAAGTCACGTATAAACAAGCTTAATTTCATTGGTGATCCAGTGATAATTATCTTTAAGTTCAGTATTTTTTTTTTAAATTGTTGCTCTATCTATCTTATGCCTTTTACTTCCGCACGCCATTGTGTATTTTATTAGGCCTAAAAAATAACTCACTTCTATTATAACTTTTTTATTAGCTACAGTATATTAAGCAACGATCATTGACAGAGACACGGAATAAGCCGTAGTCAAGTTTCTTATGGCCCATACGAGTTGCCTTTACCACTTTTTCTACGACTGAGAAGTAGCACTTTAATTTAACAACATGAGTCTTATTTTGTATGTTTATAATAGTCTTAACACCCCAAGAACTTGGGCAATTTAATCTTTAATTTTACTATGGTGAAATAATAAATTATTTTTATGAGGGAATTATTTTGTTTTTTTTTTTACTATGACCTTCAGAATTTCTTTATAAAAATAATTTAAAAATACAAAGTGTCCAGAAAGAAAATAGATTTTAATTTAGTTGAGAGCACATTTTCAGAAAACGATTCGTTATCCGTAATTTAAAAGATGGAAATAGTACAAACTTTTGACTTATATGTAAACCTCATTGTATAATTATTTACAGGGAGCATGTATTTTCAGTCTTGATTGGGACGTAAAATAAATGTCGGTAAATTATAAGAAGCTAAAATTTCTTCACGTCCTCTTCCTATTAATATCATCAACATACTTACATTTGAAGGAACGAGAACTCTTACTTAACTAGAATTTTATTTTTAAAGGAGCAGTAGTGCATGGCTAAATACATATTCAATTATATTCTATAGTCTTGACACACCCTGTATATCTAGGACTTAGTTATTTTTCAGCTTAAGATAACCTTCACAAATTTTTATACCGACCAACTTAACTAAAGTCTAATTGTCTACCATTTAATCCGAATTCAACAACCCACATCCGCAGCCCACTAGTAAGACACCTGATTTGAGCATAAATTTTATTCAACATATTTATTATAAAACATTCAAAATATGGCATCCTATATTATACATATATGATTTATGAAAACATCTATAGGTAACAATAACACAAAATAATTTATTTTACAAAAAGACTTAACTCTATGAGGCAAGACGTTTAACGTTCAGTTCTTATGTACATATAATGTGTGATATAAATTATATTTGATAGAAAGTGATTTAACTAAATCTAAGAGCAAATAACTGTCAAACGCTTGATATATAGATACGGGTTATGCACTTTGAACGGTGTTTTAGAACCACCGATATCACACAACAATGGGCTTTGTAGTTACCTGTATATATACCAACTCTTTTGTTTATTTTTTAATTCCTTTAGAAAATCCTTTGTCATTTTTAATTTATTTGGCTTACAGTTTCAAATTAACATTTTAACATATTTTAAACATGAAATTAACAGAGATAAATTGAAACAGTTTTATAATTCACAATTTATATGATTTTGTCGAAAAAATAAAACAAAAATACATGTGATTCTGTCTTCAAATAATTTATAGTTTATAAATTGAAGAATAGGTTAAAGATTAAATATGTTTGAATTTTACAGCATAATCAATAAAGGTTCTAGTCCAAAATCTTATTTTTGAACGGCTTTGTTATTGTATACAATTCCCAAAATATTCTGAATGTTACTTTTAGATACACCATGTGATTATTTGAACTTTTAAATATCAAAAAACTTGGAATTGTCAATAGAATGTTTAAAAGAACTGGTACGAAGCTTTTATGTTCCTTTATTCTCTCTTTTATATCCCTCTCTGGTTGACCTATATATTGATACATAATGTTTTGTCACTTATCTCACAGAATGTTTGCATTTATTTTTCAAATTCGTTTGAAATTTCGAATATTATCATGATTTATAATATGCCAATTGATCTCTATAGACGTTGTAAAAGAACTAGAAAAAGTTTTAACGTTTGATTATCTTGGCAGTACTAATTATGGAAAATAGGAGAAAATAAAGGTTCACATTTGAATTATCTCATAAATAATACAATTCTAGGATAAATCAGACAATAAATGAGAGGATGAAAATGAATTTTTTAAGGAGAATAGAACATAAAACATTTTTTGAAAACAAGAGAACATACTAACAAAAATCAACAATACATAAATACAGTTGTATAGAAATATCAATTTGGAAGACGACAGACTTTTGATAACAGTATATGAATAATTAGCAGAAACAAAAAAAAATGAAAAATGGAAAATGTAAAGTGAGCCATTTTATATTATTGAATGAACGTTGAGACAAAAATAAATATTTTTGTTTTATAAAAGCAGTAGAATCAAACTAAATTGACCGAGATGGAAATAATAATGAAACTAAGTTTACATTTGAAATGGATGAAAATAATAAAAAATGTATTGAAGGCGTTGGACTACCTGTCAAAATGGAAAGAAAAAGATGAGTTAATAGATAAATAGTAAAATTAGAATATTTGTGACGAGCGGAATTGGAAAAAAGAAAAACAGATAAAGAATATTTAAATAAAAACAAATTGGAGACTAAATACAAAAAAAAGTTATAAGAGGAGGCTAGTATCGCAAAAAATCGATACTTGAGCAATAATAAAGAATTAAGAAAAATTCAAGAAAATTATTGAACCGAAATTATCAGAGATAATAAGAAATATAATTTTAGGCAGATTATATTATTTGAGTACACGAATACATAGAACTTTAAAATGTTAATATGATTGATCTGACAAACTCTGTTCTTTTTAAGCATAATTTTATTTCCATTAATATTTAGTTATTTTTATTATTTCACGATTAATCAAATTATGCACGGATGGATCTATCTGTACTAGTAAAAATATTTGTTTTAAATTTTTCAAAAAAGTTATTAATCATAATTTCTTTTGCTTGTTAAATAAATACGATAAATAAAAAAAATTTTAATTTGTTCCACAGGGTGCACAATAAAATATACAATTGTGGAATTGTAAAATTAAGTTTTTTTTTTAATACAATTTTGTTTTCAAGCTTACAAATGAAGAGCTAGTAAGGAGAAATCGGAAAGCGAAATAAAATTTCTTCTTTATAGCACTTCTAAAATATAATTTTGAAAATCAGCAGTTGTTTTTTACCTGTACAACACAGTCAAAGTTTCTCAATGTGAATCGTATTTAACAAGTAAAAAAATTATGAAGAAATACTTTTTTGAAAAATTTAAAACATATTTTTAAAAGTTTCTCTTATGTTTCAAAGGTTGAGAAACTTTTAAGAGGTATCTCCCTATATTGGTTTTTGCTGTTTTACTAAAGTTTTAAAAATATTTTTGTTAATGAATACTGTCGATTATGGTCAAGACAGTACCCTTTCAATTAGAATCTATAAAATGTTTTTGACTAGATATGGTACACTGTAAAGAAAAAGTTACTAAACAACTAAAAAAAAAATATTTTATTATACATGTTTTAATCACAATGTTTTTTAGTATTTGAATACTTGAGATAATGCAATGTGAATGCTCTTAGCAAGAAAATAGATGGATTATTAATTGTCTTTACCACAATACTTTTTTTAATCAAAGATGTGTTTTGTATAAAAAATTATAAAATTTATTGAATTTTCTCTTTCACAATTTAATTACGAAAAATGTGAACTTTGTACAGTACTTTTTTTTCTCTTTTTATAAATAATATTTTGATTTTATAATAAGAAGACAAAAAGTCATTTCATATTACTGTTAATTATGTCAGTATGTCGCAGTAGAGTTGTTCTTCTGAATATTTTTTTAGGAGCAGTCAATTACAGTCCAAATAGTAACATCTATACTTAATGACAAAAGATCATCATTTTTGTACTTATCAAGTGTTAACTACCACAGAATATACATTTTTCTGAAAAAAAAAATGATAAAATACTCTGCAAATAGGCTTAAAAACACCTGTCAAATAAAGAGATGTAATCAAAATTTACTACTAAATGTGTCTTAATTTTTATAAATTTACCTGACAAAAATTTAATATATTTTAAAAATAATTTCCATTTTAAATTCTTTACATATTTTCATATTTAATGCATACTTTTTTATATTTAGAGAGATTCTAATTTTTTAATTTAATACCCCATTAAATGTCAAATATTTATTGAATGGGGTAATTTTGAGTATTTTTATTGAACGTTTACGCATTTTTTTATCACTTTGAAAATCAGTTTTGTGGCTGCATTTAAATGAGGTCTGGTCAAGGAGCACTAAGAAATTTTTACGACCTATTCAAAGATTTTTATCAAAAAATAACTATAAATTTCAATAATATTTCGATACACGTCTTTATCACATTCAATAATCACCATTTAAATTGTTATAAACAACTTCTGGTTTTTCTTTTTAATAAAAAAATTCTAATTTAATCTTTAAATCTAAATGGTTTCTACAAAACGATTTCATAAAGTTTAACAAGCCGTCACTTTCAACGCGTTACTGCCTTGTTTAAATTGTATTTTATTAGTTTTCTTTACACTTTCTTTACACCTACTTAAAAACGTATCTTTATAAATTACAGGAAATTTGAAATTAATGAATCAAAATTATTAATAAGAATGTGTGACTAAAATTCTTCGAAAATATTAAATATTTTCTACGCTTATTTTATACGTCCATAAATAAAAGGACTACAGGAACTTACAGGAGTTATGTGCTCTCAGATATATTTTATATTTACATCGAGTAACTTTACGAATAGATAAATTTTACTACTTCCACATATTTTAAAACTCAATAAGTATTTAATACCAAATGTGATTTTTCTTTAAAATTTTTAAAACTTCCGAGAAAGAGGTAAAATTTAACTTTGAATTAATATTTACACGCTAACACTAAAACTCACTAGTTACGTTAACAAAAAATCACTAAAATCAGCAGGTTCTAAGGAGTGTTCTGTAAAGTCGGTGTGTAGAAGCGCAGGTAAGGAAGGATCACTAAAATCTACAGGTGACAACGACGGTTCGGGAAAATCGGGAGAAGTCAGCAACGAACCAGAGTGGTCTGATATCGATTCACCGTCAGATTCCAAAAATAAACAATCGAAGTCACTGTAATCTGACAGCGATTCTAATTCACTGCTGCCGTTTAACGCTGCACTTAAAGTCGAGATGTATTTCATAGCTAAGCGAAGCGTAGTAATTTTAGTTAATTTTTCATTATTACCAGCAGCCAACTGAGTAGCCTGCATATGTGGAATAATCCTTCTTAGAGTTTCGAAGGCTTGATTTATCTCTCTCATACGATTTCTTTCCCTGGCGTTGGCGGTTTTTCTTCTATATTTGCTTAAAGGCGCAGCTTTCTGTTTAGGTTTATGCGATTTACTTTGCCTTTGGGTAATTTCGCCTAGTGATTCTTTAGCAGTTTCAGTCATCCGTCTCAAAGACCTGGGTCTAAGGGAATATTTATCGCCCTTTGCGGGAGACGTACCTTCAAAATCATTATTATTGTTATCATCGTGGTAAGTCAACTCCGGTAACTGCGAGCTTAGACGCTCCGACAGTTCACTGTATTGAAGTAACGAGTCCATTTGTCACTTCACTATCACTAAATAATAAGGGTTAATATTCTGATCGCCCACAAAGGTCTCTCCGAAAACTCACAAAGTTTCTGTTCTAATCGACTATAGAAGTCTCTCCGTATATATCACTATTAAAAAAAATAAAAGCGTGGGTTACTGTTCTAATTGACTATTCGAATCTCTCGTCTAAATTACTGTTACGCGAGTTGCGATCAGGTCCTGCGAGCTCTGCGTTCGAAGACCGTCTTAACCGGCTGAATTCGAGCTGGTTACTGGAGATTTGTCTGGTGTCTCCGATCGGTGGTAACGTGGGATCCCCACCTGAGCACACGCTAAGTCCAACATTATACAATACATAACATGCATCAGGCGCGGAGAAATGATGAATTGGAAGATCAGTGTGAAGGTGGAATAAACGATGATAAAGATCTTGAGCGTGAATGATTAAGAGCTCAGATTATTGTGAAATAATGTATGCGTATCATTAGCAATGCCAGTTTTCGCAGAATTCGGTTACAATGCAATTGTGCGACTCTTTTTGTTTTGTGTGTTTCGGACTATCGACATAATCTTTAGGGATCGTTAAGCCGTCGGGCAAGATAAGTGTAAGACTTTAATCGGATCCCAATAATGAGTCTTACTATGAGAAGAGTCGACTTAAATTGGAGAATTTATAATTGATTAAATGGAATTCGCGATGTAAATGTAATAAATAATAATGAGGATATTCGGCTAAAGAAATATTAAAAGTATAAAATAATATTAAAAAAAGTTTTCTAAAATCAAAAAATTCAAAAACCACTAACGTTAAAGTCAAAAGCATACAGTCTGAAAGAACTAGATATTCAAATAGTCGACAAATTTTTATTGAACTGGATTAAACGAAAAATAGTAGTTTGTGCAACAAGAGTACAGTTGATATCCATATCGCAAGACGACGAGCGAGTGAAGTACGAACAATCCACTATAGTTGTACAGTATATTTTTTCTAGGACTCTAACGCAAATCTACATTATATGAATTAAGATATTATTGGGATGAAATAACTATTTTAAAGATAATTTTCACAAACATTTGAATTTATGAATTTTATTAATATTTAAATACAATAAATCTAAAAAAATAGAGGACTTGAACTACGGAATGCTTCACTCAAACTGTTACGCTAAAAAGTTTTACATTTATTATGACTTGAAATTAATAAATATTACAATTTATTTGTAAATACGAGTATAAACGAATATGTAGTGGATTATTAATATTTATTGACTCATTTTCCATTACATCTTATCTTGGTGATTTAAAAATATAGTTTGACAGAATAGGCATTTTTTTTTTAATTTGGTGTACAGAAAAAAAGGTGCACTATATTCAAGATGAATGGTCTTATTTCAATGCTTGACAAGGGGGGTAGCCATGTGTGAGTTGAGGTAATTTTAAGGTGAAGGGTGAGAAAAAGTCCTTTATATCTCACAAGGAAAGTCAATGTTTAATTGTTTAACAAAACATTGAGTGCGACCGGTTTCGAAGTGTCATCACTTCATCTTCAGGCTCGCCTAGTGGAAAGGAGAATATGTGGTGTAAGGTGTGTTGACTTGGAAACAAAACGATATATAAAATAATAAAAAAGAGAAAACTCACCATACTCTCCATCCACTAGGGAATACTACAAAAACAAGTTTCATCAATTTTGGGTTGAAATAAATTGTAAAATGAACCGATTTACACGTAATAAAAAGTTAAAAATATTTGAAAAAACAAATATTAGTCAATTATAGTAAAAATTTAAAAATTTAAAATATTCAAGACTATACAAAAACAAATCACATACATTAAACAGATTAAAAGATAAGGCATATTTTAAACATTGTTGTTCTTTAAAAAAACTAACATTTTTTGAAAGGAGACCTGTCAGGTTAAGGCCTCTACAGGTGGTGGTAAGTATTATAACGAAGAAATTCTTGGGTAAACTTATGACAGGGTATAGTTAATAAGATGTAAACTATGAGTGAAGAATTATTTATTATCTATTATATAAGATTTGGGCCATGAACCAATCACCAAGTGTATGTGATGTTGTAGGAAGAAGAAAGAAGAAGAAATGACTGGGTTAACTGTTGTGAAGCAACTGAAGAATAAAAGAACATGCGTCATTTTCTTCTTTTATTCTTCAGTTGCTTCACAACAGTTAACCCAGTCATTTCTTCTTCTTTCTTCTTCCTACAACATCACATACACTTGGTGATTGGTTCATGGCCCAAATCTTATATAATAGATAATAAATAATTCTTCACTCATAGTTTACATCTTATTAACTATACCCTGTCATAAGTTTACCCAAGAATTTTTTCGTTATAATACTTACCACCACCTGTAGAGGCCTTAACCTGACAGGTCTCCTTTCAAAAAATGTTAGTTTTTTTAAAGAACAACAATGTTTAAAATAGGCCTTATCTTTTAATCTGTTTAATGTATGTGATTTGTTTTTGTATACTCTTGAATATTTTAAATTTTTAAATTTTTACTATAATTGACTAATATTTGTTTTTTCAAATATTTTTAACTTTTTATTACGTGTAAATCGGTTCATTTTACAATTTATTTCAACCCAAAATTGATGAAACTTGTTTTTGTAGTATTCCCTAGTGGATGGAGAGTATGGTGAGTTTTCTCTTTTTTATTATTTTATATATCGTTTTGTTTCCAAGTTAACACACCTTACACCACATATTCTCCTTTCCACTAGGCGAGCCTGAAGATGAAGTGATGACACTTCGAAACCGGTCGCACTCAATGTTTTGTTAAACAATTAAACATTGACTTTCCTTGTGAGATATAAAGGACTTTTTCTCATCCTTCACCTTAAAATTATTTCAATGCTTTGTTGTGTTTGCATATCCGCAAGTAAAACTCGTCTCGATTTAAAATTCTAGTAATACTTGTTCAACAATAGCTAATAAGCCTTGCTTTAAGATTAGAATCAATTTGCCCTAACCAAAATACCTCTTATTAAATGAAGAGTATCTATTGCTCAATTGCAGTATTATGTACACCTTAAAAAAATAATCTTACACTTGCTTTAAATTTACTTAATTTATATTCATTAATACCTTGTTCTTAAATCCAATACAACTAAATTTGTTACATTAATAATATGATCTTTGACATATATATTGATTTTGGTAGAATTATAGAATAGTTTCATTGAAAAAATGAATAATCTTGAAATAAGATCAGGTTGTTCCTTTGCATTTTAATAGGGTTCTCACTAGTACCTGTCCACCAAAAAACATTTTTCAAAATTGCTTTTAGTTAATATACAAAATTCCTCTGTCCTCTGAGGTGTCCCACCTATAATTAAAAAAAAAAATAATTTTATAACCTAAATGGAACATAAAAGTATGTCCTACTAAAGAGGTCGTATCTGCAAAATGAATATTTTTAGTAAATGTGGGTAGGTAGATAAGTACGTTCTTCCAGACTTCGCAAATAAGTTTTGCATATTTTACTAACCTTTCCTTATAATTATAGTAAATATTTTCTAATGCAAATAGGCCTTTATTATTTTGTGTTATAATAAAATAAAATGTAAGCTTATTAAATTTTTAAAAATCTTGAAATCGGAATTTTCGTAGATACGACCTCTTGTCTTAGCAAGGCAGAAGTCGTATTTCCAAAAAGTCATCATCCAGCATCATACATTTTTTTTTACTTTTATTTTAGTTTGTTTCGTGTTCTTATGATTATAAATTTACTTATATATAATAATACCTAACAAGAAATGAACTTAATATACTTACATTTAAATATTGGTGTCAGGTCGCTGAGGCCCCATTTATTTATCAAATGTTCTATTTCAATTTAATTTATTCATACACTTAATTGAATCACAAAGAATTTCTAACAAAAAGTAAAATGCAACCCTAACGATACGATGCAAACATGTTAGAAAATGGACAATAGGATGAACACGTGCTAATGCCAATTTGCCAGATTCTCTATAAATGCGGTGTGTTTCTGATTTTCGAATAATAAGTATCACATCTCAACATGTGGCAGTCATATATATCTACCGTATCAGTGCAGTGATTGCATCTTAAAATAAGTTTCAGCGGCAACACCGTTCAGTGAATTTGTACTAGCTAATCTTTTGTGAAGTACATAGGTTTTTGATGAGAATTGTTTAATTCTTGTTCTGAAATTTAAATGCTTTGAATCGAATCCTTTTATAAGATTGAATCAAGTACGCAATAGTCGGTTTTAAGAGCATATTATACTTAAAATAAACGTAAGAGCTTTCTTGGATTAAAATTAAAATTAAAATACAAGATTATGCCTATACTTCACTCAACATTTATTTTCTTATTGTATCGAGAAATATTATTTGAAGCAAACTCTGCTTTGTTTCAAACAAATGTTAACTTCTACTAAGTGTAAAGCTTTTATTAAATGTAGATGATAATTTTTTTCTGTGTAGATAAAGATCTGACACGAAAATGATAACATTAAAGAAATAGCAAATAAGGAAATATGTGCCTTATTTTTTAATCAATAATAGGTAATTGGGAAATTTAGTTTTGTATTATATACAGGGTGAATCCTAAGATATTATTTTTTTAAGTGTGTGTAAAAGTGTAAAATACTCAACTTTTTTAAAAAATCTAAGAAATTACTTAGATTAATTTGTTTCAAAATACAGGGTGTCCCGAAATTAGAGGGTCATGTTTTAACAGCATAATCTACATCCTAAAATAGGAGTAAACATTTTTATAAACATATTTCCGAAAACGTTTTATTTCCGAAGTTTGGAAAACAAATATTTTCTTTATAATAAAGCTACTTTTGTTGTATCTCGCTAAAACTTACCATTTTAAAGAGAAAAGCATTTGGAAATTGATGTTATCTTATTCGAAAGTATAAACAATAATTAGTAGGCCTGTGGAATCAGAAATTTTATTTTTTTTTAACTTTGGAAAACCGGTGATTAAAGAAATTTTAAAAAATATTTACAAAAATGTGCCATCAGGACTTCACTTGTAACACCCTGTATCTCGAAAAAAAAAATGTTTTCGGA